TGTCAACCTGTATCGCTAACACATATTTTACAGACATCTGAGATCTACCACATTTTTTCTCGGGGTTCATTCTGGAACCGACCGGAGAATTAAAGTCGCGCAAGAACTCCTCCGTGTTCGACAGTGATCCATGGATGCGAAATTCATCCGGGCTATGGGGATCCGACATAATCATTTGTTTCAGTGCTTCGGTCGAAACTTGCTGCATTAATTGCTGGACGCGCTTATCCAGAACATTTGTTCCAGGTTGTAGGACAACCTCGGCAACCTCTGCTCCGGTTTAATTCGTTTAACTCATTCTTTGCGTAATGAGCTTCCTTTATGCCGTCAATATCCGCGATGCTCTCATTGCGGGTGATTATCTTGTCCATCTGTAACAATATAACATATATGAATACGATAAAGTTTCAATCTAAAAAAGAGCTGCTCTCGCTTCTGTGCTTTTCAAACAATAATGCATATGCAACATGTATGACTCGTGTTGCATTTTAGATTGCTATAAAAGTATTAAAAGTACACTTGCTGGACATGGTATTGCATTTCGTGTTATCTGCCAAAATTCCGAGGGCAACCGTCAAAACGATGCATAAGAGGAATCTGGAAATTGCTATCACCGTTAATCTGTGTTCTAAATTGGATCGCCTTTTCCACCATGTCGAGTTTCTGCATAAAAAAAATCGAAAAATAAAAATCGTAAAGAATTGACGCGATCAAAATAACATTGTTCCTAAAAAATATATGTTTGGCCTGTTGTTTTTTATTTTCGTGAAGAACCGCTGTTACTGGACAATTTCTGTTTTTGTCTGTTGTTAACTGTTGTTACTTACCTGATACCAGATTCTGTCATGCTGTTAGTCATCATGATTAGACTAGTATTCTTTACATCTTGCTGAGGTGTATCTTTTTTTCCTGATTCTCACTAGCACGTAACTATCTACTTTTTCTGTGTCTTTTCTTCACGTTTCGATTTTTAATTCAGTTGAAGATTCACGGTCAGTTCTATAAATTATTAAGAGAAATAATATTAATAAATGAAGTAAAAAAGGGCCAAACGAGCCAAAGCTTGGGTATTGTATCGTTCCAATATATATATTTACTAATTTAACAATTTCATTACGATTTGAATAACAGACGTTTCGACCTCGAACGAGTCATTTTCAATGTTTTTATAAATTAGTTAATGCTTAACATAAAATTAAAGAACATTACAATAACTTGATACGCTCACAATCCGTATTTACATAATCGCAATCCAAAATTTTTAAAATCCGTGGTCTTCATATTCAGTAAAAAGTATTATTCGCAAACTCCAAATATTCTTATGTGATCTCATATCAAAGACAAAGAGGATGGTAAAACGTCGAAAATATTACAAAATTATATTAAGCCATTCTGCGATATCCGGTACATGTTTTTTCTTCACAAAGTCAAGCAAAACTTTTGCTTGACTTTTGCTTGACTTTGTGAAGAAAAAACATATACCGGATATCGCAAAATGGCTTAATATAATTTTGTAATATTTTCGACGTTTTGCCATCCTCTTTGTCTTTGATATGAGATTACACAAGAATATTTGGAGTATGCGAATAATATTTTTTACTGAATATGAAGACCACGGATTTTAAAACTTGGACTGCGATTATGTAAATGCGGATTGTGAGCGTATCACGTTATTGTAATGTTCTTTAATTTTTATATTAGGCATTAACTGATTTATAGTAACATTGAAAATGACTCGTTCGGGGTCGAAACATCTGTTCTTAAAATCGTAATGAAATTGTTAAATTAATAAATATTTATATTGGAGCGATACAACACCCAAGCTTTGGCTCGTAGCTTTTTCTTACTTCGTTTATTAATATTATTTTAATTTGGAGCATTAACTTTGATTTTTATTTTAATTTTAAGAAACAATAATTTTTGACAAATATCTGTTATATAAAATAAGAAACGATTTATACGGAAAAAAATCATACGCAAATATTAAATTTAAATGCTAAAAGTTTTGAATTTATAATTACTGTGACATAAAATTGTCTGTACCTGAAAAAGCTTATATAGCATAAAGGCTGCAGGTGCGTTGGTATTTCTTCTAATTTTACAAAAAATCCAGCGAATAGTATTAATGGTATACTCATTATCGGAACTAGAAATACACCTAACTGGAAGAAATTATATTTAATTTCATCATTATCTTTTCATATTAAATAAAAATAGAATTGAAATTTGTATGGTATAATTTGATCAATTAATTAAAAAATTTATTGTTATAAGTAAATAATTTAATAATTTAATATGTAAATTATGTATTATGTAATACCTGAATGTCAACAGCTGTGCCTACAAGTATTCCGACCGTTTGTGCAAGAAGCGTAATTAAGAAGTAAATGCTCCACGTCTGTAGAATTCTATTATATTCCATTGGCTGTCCTGTCATGTAGTATGATATAAACAGATAGGATGAAGTGCAAAGTACCTAGAAATCAAACAAAATTATAATTGACTTAAAAGTAATGACAACATATTTAATTACAATTTGATATTTATTCAGAATTTTATCTCTGAAAAGAATAATTAGTAACAAAGTTATATAATTCCAAATAAAATCATACTTGCATCAGAAGATCCGTTAATACTTTTACGCTGTAGTAAGATTTCAAGGAGTACCAATTATTTAAATGTTCCTGCAGGAATACTGCCGCTTCAGTGGGAACTAAAATGAGATATATTTAATATGTATTATTACAAATTATTACACAATTATTTATAAAATTCATTAAACGCACTTATCATAATTAGCATAAATGTAGCAGGGTGAAAATCTTGTCAAACAGATTTTATCAGTTGTTTAGAAATAAAAAGGGAATAATAATAACATATAATTTAATTTTATTTGCACGTAAAATGACAAATAATACATTTATACGTAAAATTTAAATTTACATATGTCACTTACTTATTAGCACTGCCATTGTGGCATTTGTAAGATATAGAATAATCATTAAAATAAATAAGAGACCAATGTTGCTCACTATTTTTTCTGCGTCATCGCCAAAATTATAATAAATCTGCCCTAATAACAGAGCGACTGCGATGTGCGTCGCGAATCTTAGTTTCGTAAAGATCTAAAAGATTAACCAAAATGACATCATTTTTATTTTCCAATTAAACCATTCATTAGTATTACAAGTATTCTATTCTACTTTTAAAAGATTTTACTCACATTATCTCGCTTGATGCAGATTAGAGCTCGTAAAAATAAAACCTTTTGCTGTTCCCATGTCGATTTCTTT